CAGAGAGTTGGACAATGACTAGGGAGGATAGAAGGAGAATTGATGCCTTTGAGCTGTGGTGCTGGAGAAGAGTATTGAATATACCATGGACTGCCAGGAAAACAAACAGATTCATCCTAGAGAGGGTTAAACTGGGCGGCTCCTTGGAAGCAAGGATTCTGAGCCTTCGTCTGACATAATTTGGACATGTTGTAAGGATGGAACAGTCCTTGGAGAGGGACATCATGCTTGGGAGGGTGGAGGGATGGCGCAGGAGGGGAAGGCCCTCTGTGAGGTGGGTTGATTCAGTGACTGGGGTAATCGGGATGGGAGTGTCAGTGACAGTGCGATTGGCACAGGACAGAGCGGAGTTTAGGGCTGTTGTACACAGGGTTGATACGAGTCGCAGGCGACTTGACAGCATATAACAGCAACGACAACAACAACAACGTAGATGCGTGAGACTTGATAGTAACACAGACTGAAGGCGTTATTATTAATACCTGTGAGTTGTGGTGTTGGCTAGAGAGTTGAGTACGCATCCCATGGACGGCCAAGAGAATGAACACACCTGTCCTGGAGAAAGCGCAACCAGGTGCTCCTTGGAGGCAAGGATGGTGCGTCAGGGTCTCACGCATTCTGAGCACGTTGTCAGAAGAACCCACGTCCTGGGGAAGACATGATGCTTGGGAAAACACAGGGTCATCGAGAGAGAGGACGACCGTCTGTGAGGTGGACAGAGCGGTGACCGCAACCCTGGGCTAAGCACAGTGGGCCTTGTGAGAGGACGCTGGGCCAGTCAGGGTTGTTCTTTTGTGTATGTGGTCACCGGACGCCACGGCACCAAACAACAGCAACAATGTTTGCTTTAAAAGAGTCTTCTCAAGAGAATGTAAAGGCTTAAGGTTGTTTAAAGATTTTCTCCAAAACAATTGTGAGATCATCTATCATGTCACCCCAGTCAGAATAGCAAAATTTAACAGAACAGCAAGCATCAAATGCTGGCGAGGTTGTGGAGAAACTGGAACCCTTATTCACTGTTGGTGGGAGTGTAAAACGGTGCAGCCACTGTGGAAGGTGGTATGGCACTTTCTCAAAAAGTTGCAAATAGAAATACCATTTGACCCAGCAATTCCACTACTGGGAATACACCCCAAAGAGACCCTAACTGACATCCAAGCAGATATAT